AGCGACTTGACCTGCACGATGACCTCGCCGGCCTCGGGCTCGGGCTCGCCGTACAGGACGTCCTGAGTCACGCCCTTGCGGTACCCACTCTTGCGGCCAGCTCCACTCATCTGCAGCAGCAGTACATAGGTCGATGAGCAGTCACACAGGCGGGTACGTACGATCTCGACACTTGCACTTTGCCGCTCCAATATGATTGGCTCTCGGTGGGATAGTTGAGCCCACCAATCGGGGCGATGGCAGAGGTTAAACGTGTTTAAACACGAGTACGATCATGTGCGTTAATTGGGATCCTTGGGGATGCGAGGCGTTGCAGGGGGCGAAATTGGGACGAGGCAAGAGGGTCTTTGACCATATCATTCGACACTGGATTGCGCTCGGGACAGCCACTTGGAGCGCTTGGTTGATAACAACGCCGTTGCTTGCAACTACTCGATACGTGGGCGCGAAGACGCCGGAGCGAGGTGCATGCCGGAGGAGGAGGCTGCATGATGCAAGTCGGCGCGTAGTGTTGTACTAAGAGTGGTAGAGCACACGACATGACCGAAGGGATACCCTGATCGAGCATCTCGATTGATGCAGGTTCAATGCGTGGAACGTGTTTAACGTGTCTCAGGTGCGTTTGACGTTAAACGTCACGTGGCATACGGTTAAACCTGGTTTGAAGGACAGGTCCAAGAGAGTTTGAGTTTTGTGGTGTCAAGATGGCCGGACGCGGACGAGGCAAGGCGGCGACGCTCCCTGCATGGATGACCAACCCGACCAACAGCGTCGCTGCTGCGGCTGCTGCTGCTATCAAGCCTGTCGAAGCCGTCAAGGGCCAGTTCGATGACGCCGACAGCCGCCGGGGCCGCGACCACGGGCACATCTCGTCGCGCGATGCACGCGACCATGGGCACACCTCGTCGCGCGATGCTCGCGACCATGGGCACACCTCATCGCGCGATGCCCGCGATGAGCGAAGCGCATCCAAGCCCGAGCACACGGAAGAGCGCAGCAACCACTCGCGTGGCGAAGAGAGCCGCCACGCGCCGTCCGAGCGATCGGATCGGCGGCGCGACGAGCCCCGGTCGGACCGGTACGAATCCTCGCGCTCGAGCCGCCACGACGACCGCCGCCGCAGCCAGGAACGCAGCAGCCGCCGTGACTCGCGTGACCGCCGTGACAGACGAAGCCGCGAACGTGGCTCCAGCCGTCGTGATTCGCGTGACCGCGGCAGCGACCGCAACCGTGGGTATGGTTCGACGTCCGACCGCGACCGTGGCTACGGCGTCTCGTCCTCGGACCGTGACCGCGGCTACGGCTCGACGTCCGACCGTGATCGTGGCTACGGTGTCTCGTCCTCGGATCGTGACCGTGGGTATGGCCGCGACACGCAGGACTCCCGCAGCCACGGCGCGTCGGACGACCGCCGTCGCAGCCGCTCGCGCGATCGGCGCTAAGCCACGACGGTATCCGCCAGCATTCTATATACCCGCAATCATACAGCGTGCGACTACACTTCAACGTATCTTCTTCAACCGCTCTTACGACAGAAAAGACGTGAGCGCATCGAAAAAGTCGGGCGCGGGCTCCGAGGCGCAGAAGACTTGGCGCTGGTAAAAGTCGGGCAGCGACGAAATCTTGAGGTGGAGGTCGCCCAAGCGCTCGACGAGCGCCGCCTTCTCTTCGGCCACCACTTGCACGGCCTAGCCGCTGTGTTAGTATCAAGTCCCAATCCTCCACAGCGCACCTTGTCAATGTCGGCCTGCTTGGCAACAGTCCACACCACCTGCTCGAGCGCAAGGGCGACCTGGCCATTGGTTGCCATGTCCCCGAGTTGCGTCTCGAGCCGCTCGACGCGTTTCTGGTACCGCTGCAACATCGTCGCCGCGTCCGCGTGGTCGGCGGTCGTGGCGGCAAGCGTCGCTGACGCCGTCGCCAGCTCAGACGTCACGAGGTCGAGCTTGTGCCGGAGCATGTCCTTCTCCTTCTGCAGCACCGAGAGGTCCCGCGAGAGCGCGTCGTGGTCGGTCGCCGCGCTCTTGAGCGCCCGCTGGGCCGTGTGCAGCTCGCCGGCTTGTTTGGCCATCTCGGCGATCGCGGACTCGCGCTCGGTCGTGCGGCCCTTACGCTCGTCACTCAGCTCTTGCGTCAAGGTCTCGCGGATGCTGTCACGGTCGGCTTGCACTACCGAGCCTTGTCAGCAACAGTACTACTTATGAACCCAATACACCTGCATGGAGCGCAGAGGTTGTCTGCGCCAACTGCGCACCAAGCTGCGCCCGCTCGACGCTCACGGCCGTGTGCGCCTGCTGCAGCGCATCCAGCTCCACGCGGCGCGCCGCTTCTTTGGCCGAAACGGCTTCGAGCTGCGCCAGCGTCGACTCGAGCGAGCTGCGCAGCTCCACGTTGCTTGCGCTTGCCGCCTCGAGCTTGTCTTGCACGTTGGCCGCGGCGCTAATTGCGCGAACGTTCTCGAGCTCCAGCGCGTGCAGTTGCGTCTCGAGGTGTCGCTGCGTCGACTCGAGCGCCTATCGCTTCGTAGGACGAGGTCTCGTAGCGCAGCAATCACCGTACGCGTTCGCGGCTCTCGGCGGCGGCGACGGTCGACGCCAGCGTGGCGGCGTGGGCGGCTTCCCGTCGCGCGGCGGCGGCGTCAACGAACGACCACACGTCGTCTCTGAGAAAGGACAAGAGTGCCTTGTTCTTGGCCGCACCGTCGGCCTCTTCGTCGTACGCAGCCAAGAGAGGTGTTAGACGGGCCCGCCACGAGGTCGTCGCATCGTCTGCCGCTGCGTCGAGCATGGTGGCGGCGGCCCTCGCAAGGACGGCGTCGCAGAGTGCGCGCGATTTCACCTGCAGCGATGCAATCTGCGCCGTGCGATCGGCCGTAATCGCCGTCTTCAGACTCTGGAAGCATCGCTTCCGCGCGTCGCCGTCGACCGAGATGCGCTTGTAGACGGTGAGGGCCTTGTCCTGCGCCGATTTGAACGTCGATTCAAAGTGATCTTGGCGCAGGCTCTCGCCGAGGGCGGTGGCCATGACGCAGTGGTACTCGTCGAGGGCGCGCTGCATGGCCGTCTCGCACGTCGCGTCGCTCACGTACTCCCACGCCGCCTTGATGTTTGGCACGGCGCCCGAGTTCATGGTCGCAAGGTACGCACGCACGAGGTGGCACAGCTGCGGCCCGTCCACCACTTGGCCGAGAAGGCGCTTGGGCGATGCAAGCGCCAAGAGGCGAGCTCGGATGCATGCCATTTGCGTGACAAACTCGGACCGGAGGTCGGCGTTGGTGAGCGAGCTCGCGTGCCGCAGCTGGTCTTCGTCGGTCGCGGGTCGCACGAGCGTCATGCTAGAGCCACATGCCATATGAAATGGAGAGGCAATTCAACGACGCACCACTCGCGCTGGGCAAAGAGGGTCCGGATCGAGGCGCGGATGCGGTTGCGCTCGTCGGTGCGGCGGGACGCGCCGTCTCGCGGCTCGAGGGACCGCTCGAGGTACGTCTTGGGCGAGAGCGCAACGCCGTTCTCTTGTATATCGAGGAGGAAATCTCGTAAGAGCCAAACAAACGGAGGAAAGTGCGGGGCGAGCTCGGCCTCGGACGGACCAAAGTCGTCGTCATCGTCATGGTCATGAAGCGTCTTGGAAGCGTCACATGTCGTCGGATTGTGCGTGAGGCACACGTGCTTGGTGAGCTCCGACACAAGAAAGAGGCTAGGTCGTCATGAGCATGCGAGAAGAAGGCGGAGGCGCACCGGTCAATCGCGCCTTCGTCAATGACACCCATGGTGTTGAAGACAAAGACGGAGCTCAAGAGCAGCCCGAGCGAGAAGATCTTGGCGTCGTACGACTCGTCATTGTCGGTCGACGCGATGCCTTCCGTGTCCATGAGCAGCACCTTCTCGCCGCGGTCGTTGCGGACGTTGGCGTCCCAGATCCAGATGCCACGCGTGCACGACTCGGTCGTGGGGCCCACAACGAAGCCGCCAGCCCCGCTCGCTTGGCACATTTGGTTCAAGAAGAAGCTCTTGCCCGTGCTAGCCATAAGTGAGAGGCGGCGACGAGCGGCGGTCGGTCGTATTACCGGTACTGGCCGGCGAGGCAAACAATCGCGAGCGGCTCCAGCTGTAGCGACTGCAGCAGCCTACGCAGAGCGCGTCATGACACTGCCAGTGCTGCATGGTCGCTTACGCTTCGCCCTCGGGCACGACCTCGAGGCCGTCCGCGCCCTGGCGGATCAAGCACACGGGCTGCATCGTCGAGCGTCGAGCAAGATATACCGTCGACTACCGGATACGGAAAGAGGCAACTCCCTCGTTGCACCAGAGACACGCACGTAATGCAATGTGAACTTGACATGCGCGCACTTGGAAACGGTATCCTTGGAAACATTGCCATTGTTTCGACAAAGCAGCAGCCGCATGGGCAAGGACGAGGTCGACGAGAGCGTCTTGGCGGCCAACTTTACGCACCACGTGCAGCAGATCCTCTCGACGATCAAGGAGACGAAGGGCCGCAAGTTTGTCGACTTGGGCCCTGGCGACGCTCGCCCCGAGGTGGGCTACTACGGCGGCCTCGGGCAGAAGCTCCAGCGACTCCATTGCGAGATGCAGGCGCAGCTCTCACCCACGCTCGTCATGGAGCTTCTCGTCGGCTTTGGCGACATGTTCTTTGGTCTGCAAGAATACACGGTCGCGACCATCATGTACGGTCGCGCCAGCAGCCTCTACAGCACCAAGGAGGCGGCGCCGACCTTGTCGGACCGACAGCTGCACGTACGTGCCATGTATGCGTCGGCCCTCTGCGTCGTGCGCCAGCTCAACCAGCGCGACCGGTGCGTCAAGTGCCCGTCGACGCTCCGCCGGCTTGGTGACGCGCTCTCGTCGCTCCAGCAGGCGCTCCAGCATGCGCTCGCGCTGGCCGTCCATCGCGACGTGGTCGCGGACAAGGCGACGCATGCCACTTGCCTCGGTCACGTTCTCAACGGCACGATCCACATCGTAGGCGTCTGCGCGTCGCTGCAAACGCTTCGCTTTGACGCGGACGTCCTTCCGTACCTCAAGTACTGCAGCCTCGCGCTCGATAGCCTCCTTCCACTTGGGACGGTGCAGTTTCTCGCGTGGCGCACGTATATCTACATCCAGATTGCGACGGGCTACAACGGTACAGACACCGTAGTCCATTTGATATATAAACGTCGTATTAGCCCTTGCGCTCAAGCACCCAGAGAAGCGCGACGCGCTCTGGAAGTCCGCCCTCGCCGCACTTGACCTCGGACTCAAGCGCGTGCACCGGCTCCGGCAGGAAGAAGAGCTCGATTTGCCGCTGCCCGAAGCGACCGACGCTGCGTTAAAGACCGCCGAGCGGGACCTTCAGATCGCAAAGTTTCCAATCGCGCGCTGCATCAAAGCACCAAGTGCGCCGCAGCTACTGGTCAGCGTGGCCAAAGCCGATGTCGAGAGCGCGTTCTCGGACGCGACCGCGCGCGCCCGGGCGATGCTGCACAGCCTCTCGGTTCCGTCGGCGTCGTCGTCATGGATCTACTTTGGCCACTGGATCAAGCCTACCGAGCCGCCATCGCCCGTCGTCATCGCGCCAGCCGACGTCGCGACGATGCTCCAGGCACTCGAGGGTCTTGCTACGACGCTGTCGAAAGACGAGCACGTTCGCTTGCTCAAGCTCTGCGTGCGCTACAAGCACTGGGACACGTTTGCCGAGGTCTACAGCAGCGTCCACCCGCGGCTCTCGGCCGGTGTCGCCAAGGACGAAGTCGACGTCTTCCACGCCTTCGTGCTCGTGATGCAGGATGTGCCGGACGAAATGTCGGTGACGAACCTCCACGGCGACCACCTCTCGCGCCTCGTGGTCGTCTTGCAGGCCGCTGCACGCAACGACGCGCTCTGCGCACTGCGCCGCGACGTCCTCGCCGAGGTCGTTCTCGCGTTGTGGCACGCGTGCATCGTCCCGAGCCTCAAAGCGCTCGACGAGAGACTGCCCGGCGAAGATGTCCCCGTGGCTCTCCAAGAGCTCACAAAGGACGTACTCTTTGCGATGCACGTGGTCGCGCACGCGATCGATCTCGACGACGTCGTGTGGCGCGCGATTGTCGCGCTGCGCCTCGGACGCCTCCTCGCCGACGTCGGTGACACCCGTCGCGGTATCCAAGTGCTCCGCGTCGGCCTCGATCGGATCAGCGTCGCCCGAAGCGCCTGCGTCGACGTGCAGCTGCACGACGAAGTGACATCGACGCCCGACGGTCGCCGTATACTCCATGGCGCGGCGTACGGAGCGTCGATCCTTCTCGACGCCGCCTTCCTTCCGTCCAGTACCCCCACCGACGGCGCGCTCTTTCAAATGCAGCGCCTGAACCGGTTGCTCGCGAGCTTGGAAACCGACATGACGCTCCTGCTCTATGAATGCGAGTACGACGACCTACTCCGCGCGTGCGGGCGCAAGGCGTTCGCGCACCTCGAAGCGCGCCTCGTCGCCGAGTGCAACCGAAATGACTACCGACGTGGCTTGCTTTTACTGCAAGCCGCCCGACGTCGCGCCAAAGGTACTTAAGTACCTGCTATCTCACTCATGCGCCGAGGGGAAAAATGCAACTAGGTCGCGACGAGCAAGAGTCGTGCTTGGCCGACGCGCTCCGTTGCTTCCACGCGCTCCGCGACGATGAGCTCGACGTACGCCATGCACCCGAGCCCGAGGCGCCAGCGCCGTCCGTGCACATGAAGCCACCGGCGCCCCGCCTTGCCTCGCGGGGCGCCACGTTTGTGTCGCTTCGGCTCGCACCCTTTACGCCGCTCAAGAAACGCGTGTCCTATTACATGGTGTTTGGGAAAGCCACCGGCGCCGGCACAGACGTCTCGCTCAATAATATGGCGTTCCCCGGCACGGGCATGGTCGTCGATGGATCCGAGTCGCTGGTCCGATAGTCGGTTCTAGGCGCCAACCTCTCACTGATTGGATCTATGTAGGTGACGATCTCGGGTCTCTTGCCCAACGAGAGCTATGTGTTTGCTGCCGCAGCCTACGACAGCAAGAATGCGGTCATTGAAGGCATTGGCGCCACGTCGCGTCCCGTCGTAACGCTGCACCCGCTCGTACTGCCTCTGTGCTACGGTCTTTTAGCCCACGTTGCCGAGGACCTCGGACACTTGTAGGAACAAACACTCGTCGTGTAGCGACTGATGGCATGATAGACCGATCGCACTGCAAGCGGCCAAAGCGGTGTACACCGAGTTTGTCGACGAAGCGCCAGCGCGGAATCGGTGGCGCGTCAGCCCGCTCTTTTCCCATGCGCTCAAGCTCGACCGGTCGCTCGACGGCGCACCCCGGGGCGCGATCGCAGAATACCCGATGCATGTCTTGCATGTCTTCTTGCGCTGCGTGTTTGTCCTCATCGGACCCGAAGTCGGCGAGCCGGCCACCGACGGCCGGCTTCCATGCGCCAGTGGCAGGCGTGTCGTCGTCGAAGATCAGCTTCACGTTCTCAGCACCATCAACCGTGCTATGCTCGCGCTGGAAGTCGCCGCGCTCACAGGCCACCACGAGTACATGGCCAGCGTGAGCCACCGGCTGTACCGGCTCATGGTGCCGCTCCTGCATCTGCCGAGCTCGGGCGGTGCGCTCTTCCAGCCGCTCTGCATGCTTCTCGAGGTACGCGCTTGCTGCTGTTCAGTGTATCGATGGCGGGAGTAGAGTCTGCAGCTTGTGCCTGAAAAGCATTGGGACAGCGCGTTGTACGCGACGTACATGTGTGCGAGCTTTGAGCTGCTCCGCATGGCGACCGAGATGGACGAGCTCAAGGCCGTGCACGCGTGCTTGAAGCTCCACGACGATCGTCTGAGGCATCTCTATACGCACGTGCACGCGCCGTTCCGATCGGCGAACGTCCAAGCCCGCAGCCTCCGCGACAGCATCTTCTTGAACAGCGAGTGGATGGCACAGCTCGAGCTCAGCGCGACGACGACGATCTCGGCGCCGGATGTCGAGAAGACAAAGGGCAAAGTGACGCCCCGTGACGAAATGCACAAGGCGTCGTCGGTCGAAGAGGCGCTGCCGGGTCTGGCCAACGTGGTCAAAGCCGCGAACGAGCTACGAACGTTCTTTCTGCACCACAGGGAGTACCTTCCGTATGTCTGTCGCGTCGTGCGGCTCGGTATCGACCGCGGGGAGAAGGGCCTCGAGTCGATCTTGCACGGCGCCATGTGGTCTTGTAAGCTCGTCCTCTCGTCCGAGGCGAAGCGTACATTGCAGCAGCTCGACGCCGCCGAGCTCGTGCCCGAGCCACCGACACAAGCACCGGTGGCAGACGCGCCATCCTCCGCACGTGGTGCGGATCCCACAGCGACGACCGTCGAGACGACTCCGCAAGACGCGTCTCTAGCGGCGCCACCCGATGTCGTCGATGCCGACGTCTACCTTTGGAGCGGCCAAGTGTTTTTCCTGCGTGGCCTGCTGCACGTGTGTCCTCTACTAAAATACCATAGCCATTGGTGCGCTCATACTGTATATGCTGCTAGGTCGCACCGGCGTCGCCGCACGCTGACGAAGCCACGCTCAACCATTTGCAAGGGCCCGAGCACGACCTCTCGTGGCTCTACCTCCGTCCTCGTCGTCGTCCTTGCCAGCGGCGTATTCCAGCCCTGGCGACCGACCTCGGCACGACGGCGTGCACCAGCTCCTTCTCAACATGGCGACAGCAACGCAGCTGTTTTACCATGCACAGGCATGGCCGAATCTGCTCGAAGCGGTGCGCGCCATGTGGAACGGCCTTTGGCTCGCGTGGGTCTCGCCCCTCGAGTTTCAGAACGGCGGCTACGACTGGCAGCCGCTCTTTGTGTGCTGCATGCGGAGCTGGGACGTCCTCGAGCTCCATACCTTCAACGTCATCCACGATGACGCGGACGTCTTGCATCGGTCGATGGACGCTGTCGATATCGAACGCCCGGTCGTCGCCACCTCGTCGCAGCTCGCGGCAGCGGCCGACGCGACGCCCGGTCTCGACCTCACGTGGCTCACCAAGGTCACACTCTTTACCCTCCAAGTGCTCTGCCATGGTCGCGAGTGGCAAAAGCTCGTCGTCCTCGGGAAGCGAGGCCACGTGCTCAGCGGCGGCCAGAGCGCGATTTCGGAGCTCCTTCTTCCTTGGGTCGTGCACGCCCAAGGGCAGCGCATATGTATCCAAGACGCACGCGTCGAGAGCGCGACGTCGGACCTCGCAGCGTTCATCAAGGCGTTTGAAGACAGCCAGGCCAAGAAGAAGAAGAAGCGGAGCCGCCTCGTGGTGCACGAGGTCATTTCCGACGAAGAGCGCGCGTTCCTGACTGCGCGCAGCGTGCACGAAGCGCACCTACGGGACTTGACGGCGGCTCAAACGATCCTGAAGGACCATGGGACGCTGCTCCAGTCGTGGCTGGACCTCCTCACGCGCTCGAAAAACATGTGTCTCCAGGCGCTGGACCGCGCGCAGAAGAACGTCCTTCGGCGCTACGTCCTCGGCGACGACGCGATCTCCAAGCGCGAGATCCTCGGCGCCTTGAAAGCCTGCATTGGCCTCTGTCGTCAGAAGCGCGCGACGCTCCAGCTCACGCTCGCGCTGATGGAGCAAGGCGACTACCTCTTCGCCGAGCACGATGTTCCTGGCGCGATCAAGGCGTGGACCGACGCGATCGACGCGGTCTTTGGTGCGCTGGACGCGCGCTTGCACTGGCGAACGATCCTCGCGAAGGCGACGATGTCGCTGAACGGCGACGGCGCCGTCATTGCGCTCGTGTGCGTCCAGTTGGTCGGGAAGCTGGCGTGGGCGCTGAGCACCGACGACCTCCACGCGCGCCTCGAGTGCGCGCTGTTGGGCAGTGCCGTCATCACGACCTTCTTCACTGGGTCGCTTCCGCACCCCGACGCGAGCACACCCGCCGCATTTGCATCCTACACGGCCAAAGACCTCGTGTCGTTCTTGCCCGAGCTGCACCTGAAGCTCGCGCACCCGGCGTCCTTGGTGCTGGCCTGCAGCACCTTGCTCGAGACGCTCCTCGTACACCGGCAGTATATCCAAGTGCTTCCGATGGCGTGCGCGCTGGAAGCGATGGCAACAACGTACCTCCGCGACGCCCGCGGGGTCGTCCAGGCCAAACGCATGAAGGCCGAGGCGTGCATCGGCGCAGGCTACATGCGCGACGCCTGTCGTCTCCTGAGCGACATTTGCAACAAGCCGCAAGTCGCGTTCGCATCGTCCAAGAGGCTCGGCGACCCGGACAACGAGCCCGTCCTGCGCTGGCTCTGCGACCTCAGCGTCGAGACGCTCTTGCGAGAGCTCCAAGCCAAAATTGGGAGCAGCCGCGTCGCCCACCTCGTGCTGCTCACGCTACTTCGCTGGATCGTGGCCCTCGCGGCCCACGAAGGCGCGTCTGCCCAGGGCACGGCGCTGCGCGCGGCGCTAAACGCTGCCGCCACCACCCTCCAGGTACCAACTTGCAGTATACACGCAACCAATGCATATTGCGATTCGCGTAGGCGAGTGTACTCAAGTCGTCGTCACCGCCCTCGGAAGCGCCGCCGCCGAGCGCGCGCAAGGGAGCCGAGCCCCCCGAGCCGGTGGTCCCATTGGTTCACGACACGGAGCCGCTGCACCTGTGCGACATCACCAAGGTCGCGTGCGAGTGCGACGTTCTCCTCGCGACCATCGCGCTGCAAGACGGGTTCGTCGAGGTCGCGCGCACCGCCCTTGTGCGTGGCATGAAGCTCTACAGCACAACGCCCAAGCTCGAGCGCGACGACGATCGCTTCTTTGACGGCGTCTCGTCCGAGCTCAACGTGCTCTACTGGCTGGACTGCCGCCTCTTGAGCGTGCGCTGTGATATCGCGCAAGGCCACTACGACGATGCGATCGCACTGGCCGACGTCGCGCTCGACGAGGCGGCGAGCGCCCACGACCGCGTCTTTACGCGGCAGCTGCGCGCGCTGCGCATCCAAGCGCAACTGCTGCGCGGCGACAGGGCGCTCGCACTGGCCGACGCGCAGACGTGGGTGACGGACGACGACGCCGGGCTGCCGAGCCTCACGCGCGCCGAAGTGTGCATCGGGCTGAGCGCCAACCACCGCACGGACGCTATCGCGAGCCGCTGCGTCGACGATCACATTGACGCGCTGCGGAAGAGCGTCGCCGTGCTCAGAACGCGGTGGCGACCACCGACGCACTCTTGGCGCACCAAGGTCCTCTCGATGAATCTCAAACGGTCCGTCTCCACTCTATTCTAGGCTGGATGGGCCTCGCACACACGCGTCATCGCACGGAGCTTCTCAACCTCTACCTCCCTAATGTGCCCATGTTTGTGGTGCTTCAAGCGCTTGTGGTGGCCCGGCAGCTCGACTTGCACCGCGCGTCGCCCGACGACGTGGCCCTGGAGCATCTCTTGCCTGCCATTACGGTACCTCGTTCTTGCGATATGTGGATGCCATGGATGGAGTGACGATGGTGTTCGCACTAGAGCGGTCTCGAGGCGCTCGGGCACGTGTGTCATCCGCCGAGCTACCTCAAGCCACTTTTACTCTTCTTCAGAGGCGCGGTGCTCCGTCGGTTGGCGTCGCCTGGCGCCGTGGACGCGTTCCTGGAAGCGCTCACGCTTTGGATCAAGGACGGCGGACACCCACGGAGTCTCATGTACAATGCGTGCATGGAGCTTGTTGTTGTGTTTGGCAGCAGACGCTCGGACGCGGACATGCAGGCCGCGTTCCACTACCTCCAGCTCGCCTGCAAGCTCCAGGACCAGGAGGTGACTTATGGAACTCGAGTGCGCTCAACGCGACGAGCGCAAGTGGCCTCGGGACGCTCCCAAGCTTTCTGCAGCAAGAAATCCTTGCGAGCGCGAAATCCTCGGCAACGGGCGGGAGTGCGCCGACGATGGAGCAGTTGGGGTACCTCGTCTTGCCCTACTTTATCTCGATCGCCCGCGAGCACGACGTGGTATTTGACGCGCGTCTTAGCAGCCAGCTCCATCGCGCCCTCGTCTCGCTGCACGCGTTCCTAGCAACCAACCACAGTGGGTACGCCAAGCTCTGTCTGCCATCCTTGCCGCCCGTGCCGAGAGACGACCCCGAGATTCCCGGTGGCCTCGTGTGCGTGCAGTGGCTCCAGACGGCGCCGGACATGGGCGACATGTACTATGCACTCGGCACAGCGACGAGTGCTCACGACACGCGGTTCGCAGACGCGCCACTCTTGAGCCGCAAGGTAAACGCCAAAGACGTGAGGAGTATCAACGTATCGAGAAAAATCGTAGCACCAAGTGAGCTGGTCGGCGGTGCGGGCGCTCAAGGCCGACATTTCGCGGCTTCGACACGTGCTCCAGGACAAGGAAGACCGCATCGGAAAGCCGCAGGCCGCTTTGGACGCGGTGTTGGCGCAGATTGCGTCGCTCCTTCAACCTCGCGCCCAGGACGACGATGGCGCGGGTTCAAATCCGGCTCGGGACCACGCTGTGCCGCATGCGATAGCGTGCTCTCTCGACGATGTGAGTGTGCTCGAGCGCGTCTTTTGCACGTCGCGTGGCAGCAACGTACCGCATCCCGCGATCTGCTACTTCTTGCGGCACGTCCTGGCGGCGCCAGACGAGGCACCCGACAAGCCGTGATCCCTCCTCGGTCAAAAATCGCAAAAATCTCAAAAATCGTACTTTTACTCCATCAAGACTTGCAAGGCAGTACGAGGGGTACTGAATGGTTCCCCAGGGCGGTACGCGATACCCACGGCGTCCTCTCTATCGAAACACGGTCGTGTGCTGGAGGCTGCTCAGCAAGAGCAACAAGAGGTCCTGACACGAGGTCACTTTGACACCAGAGACGACAGGCGCATGCAATTACCTGCAACACCTTGTCGGACGGACCCTGCTTGCGCTTTTCAAAAATGAGCGTCAAGTAGACGCACGCGTCGACGCGAGCCACCGCATACGTACTCGCCGGCTTCTTCTCGTGGTGGATCGTACTACAAGTCCGTGCCATCATTACGAGGATGCGACCACTTGACACAACGATTACATGGGCGACGTGTGGGCCGTCTTGGCCTTGGCGTCCCACGGCGGGAGGTCCTGGAGCAGGCCCACGAGGTTGGGAAAGTGCCGCGGCACAAAGTGCTCGGGCGGCTCGGCCTTGGGGTAGCAGTAGACTAGAGAGGATGTCGTGGCCGAAGCACGTAAATCAACGAGGACGTACCGACGGGAAATGACGCGACGCCCCACAGCGGCGCGAATTCCCCGTGAATGTCTTCGTCGTAGCGCGACACTTTGCCGAAATACGTCTTGTTGGCGGCGCGGATCCGGTTCGCCGACGACTTTTTCGGGCCCGCGATCGTTTGCGACGGACAGAGGTAGCCTTTGGCGTGGAAGGCGCTGGGAGGAAGGGCCGCCGCATCGAGCACGAGCATGAGCTGCGCGCTCTCGCTGTGGTCGCGCAAGACTAGACGCGCATATTCGATGCAAGCACGATCGCGGTTGCAACGTACAGTGGCGAGAAAAAAACGTGTCGATGAGCTCCGTGTACGAAAGGCCGACGTGGTTGACGATGGATTTCGGCGCCGGGAGAATGCCCCGCGGCTGCATGTGTCCGTCGATTTGATCGAGCCACTAGTGAGATATATGAGACATGCGGTATGGCATCCTTGCGGACTCTGTGAAAGTAGAGCGTAAACTTGGCGACGAGCGACTGGAAGAGCGTTTTGGACCACCGAAAGAGCGGCAGCACAATCGCGTCATCTAGACACGTCACGATGACATACCATTGACGCGTCGGCAGACGCACCAAACGGCACGGCGTGCTGCGAGTTGGAGAGCGAGTGCGCACTAGGCTGCAGCACGTTCGACGACGACTCGCCACGCTTGAGAAGCTTTGCGATCGGATGCGGCTTGGCACTACAATGGCAGTCGAGTCTGTCAGTGGATAGACTGTAGAACGCTTTGGATACCTCAGGTGCACCTTGCTCTCCAACGACGGGCGGCCTGGCGGCGTCGGGAGCACGCGATCCGAGTTGCGGGACGTGCGCGAAATGCGCAGATCCGTATTGGTGGCGTCCGGTGACTCGTCGTCGTCGTCGTCGGCTTGGTCCAAAAGGTCAGCCCACGCGCCGAGCTGCCTAGTAGTTGCACGAACATCGTCGCCTCGCTTCATACGACAAGACACACTGTTTGAGCTTGTGGAGCGCCATGATCGAGTGGAGGTAGTTGTACTGCGAGAGCATCATCTCGCACTTGAGTGCGGCGCGAATCGTTTGCACCTCCATCGTCGCCGCCGTTTGAAGCGCCTATCATCATGATCGTCTCTGCGATCGACGTTGCGTGCTCGTGTACGTAGAAGAAGGGGTGCTCGAGCGTGCGCAGAGCGTTTTGGATGTTTTCAAGCGACTGCTCCTTCTGGAGACGCATACATAAACAACAACGTCCAGATTCAGGGGTAGAGAGCACCTCTTTGTAGTCGAAGAGGTAGTGGACATGCGGCTTCTCGCGCGCGAGGCCGAGGTAGAAGGATACAAGAAGGAGGCGTTGCTACGCGCGGAGGTCGGTCCTTGCCAACAATCCCACGAAGAACCATAGTACCTCAAAGTACCGGCTGCACTGGTCGAGGAAGGATTTGTACTCGACGATGCGCACGGACGGCGGGCCCTCGTAAAACTGATCGAACTCGGAGAGGTTGGACGCGACCGACCCGACGCTGGACGGGTTCTCGTTGAGAAAGGTCTAGTTCGCTATGAGCACGGACGCCATGGTGGAGGTAGCGTACTTGGTCGCTCTGCCACGAAAACCTTAGCGAGTCGTAATAGCCAGAAGGGGCGACTACCGTGGGGGTGCTGCACTTGGCAGCGAGCGATGGCCCGTCTCTGTCCACGTCCGACTCGGACCCGGCCTTGTCGCGCCGATGAAAATGCAACAAGTCGGCGCACACGAGGCTCTGCGTCTTGAGCTGGAGGTACAAGCTGCGCAGCGTGTCCTTGTACAAATACTCGGGCTGCAAGTACGTCATCTTATGGTACGTGGATTCGCAGTCGGCCCACATGTGCAGCATGCGCGAGAGGTGGCGCCACTCGCGGTTCCCGTCTTGCTCGAGCGGAACGCCGTCCTTCGCCTGCGAAACGCCGTCATGTGACCGTCATGGCCCACCAAGTAGGAAGAGGAGCGTACGTTCTTGTAGCGGTAGTTCGCCATCGCGTCCAGGAACGACGGCAAATGCGCTTGGAGGAGCTCGCTCAGCTCGTGCTGCGCCTTGGACATGACGATAGAATTTGTTCCAACGTTGCGACGCCAATTTTATCCGGAATTCCAACGCCGGTATGAATTCCGGATACTAGCCAAGAAATACGCTGCCATAACGGCATGTAGCGCGTCGCCGCACCTCCAACGACCCATGGAAATGGTACGTGGGTTCATAGAGGTATAATAGGACACGCACGCCGACGAGTACGAATGCAAATTCGGCACCAGCAGGTCCAGCCGCTTGCTCGGCGGACGGCTCCGGTCATTAAAAGTGGCATCTGCCGCGTTTAAGAGAGCATATCCGGTATTTCGCGCCGAGCCAAGCAAGCGGTCCAAACGAACCGGCCATGTCCTTCCTTTCTGCTGCGCTGGTAGATGACCTCGGCGAGCATGGGCTACGTGAGGCTCATGACGCCTCTTCCTCTAGGGCGACGACCTGACCCGCCAGATCCACGCGTCCAAGATCTTGGTCGTCGGCGCCGGTGGCATCGGTACCTCGAGCATCGTCGTCGTTCGCTCAGCTCGTTATTAGGCTGCGAGCTTCTCAAGAACCTCGTCTTGAGCGGCTTTGTGGACATTACGATCGTGGACCTCGACACGATCGATGTGTCCAACTTGAACCGGCAGTTTCTCTTCCGCTCGCAGCACGTGGGCATGAGCAAGGCGATCGTGGCCCGCGAGGTCGCGCTCCAGTGTAGCTCGCTGCTCGATTCTCGTTGGTCCTTATACCTCCTCTGCATGTAGTCAACCCGTCGGCCAAGATCACGGCGCACCACGAAAACATCAAGTCGAGCCGATACGCGATCGAGTACTTTGAGCAGTTTGCGCTCGTGCTCAACGCCCTCGACAACGTCGACGCGCGCAAGCACGTCAACCGGCTCTGCCTCGCGGCCAACGTCCCGCTCATCGAGAGCGGCACGACTGGGTACCTCGGCCAAGTCTCGGTCATCAAGAAGGGTGAGACCGAGTGCTACGAATGCACGGAGAAGGCGACGGCCAAGGTGTACCCGATCTGCACGATCCGCAGCACGCCCGACAAGATGGTGCACTGCATTGTCTGGGCAAAGGAGTGCTACAAGCTGCTCTTTGGGAAGACGCAGGACTCGATGCTCTGGGAGGACCCGACCAACGACGACAAGTCGGCCTTCATGGACAGCATCCTGGCGCGGGACCTTGCGCCGACCGAGTATGCGCGCGGCGTCTTCCGCGGTCTCTTTGAGCACGAGATTCAAAAGAAGCTCGACATCAAGACGTACAAGACAGCGACCAAGATGCCCCGGACGATCGTTCTCGACGATCTCTCGCTGCCGCCGCCGCCCGTCGACAAGTGGCACGACCGCATGCTCTGGTCGCTCGACGCCTGCGCGCAGACGTTCCTCGATACGGTCGCCACGATTCTTTCTTCCAACGACGACGTCGGAAGCCTCGAGTTTGATAAGGACGATACGCACGCGATGCACTTTGTCGCGGCCGCCGCCAACCTCCGCGCGCACGTCTTCCAGATTCCGATGGAGTCGCTGTTTGCGTGCAAGGGCATCGCGGGCAACATCATTCCGGCGATTGCAACGACCAACGCGATTGTCGCCGGCCTCCAAGTGCTCGAAGCGTTCAAGCTCATTCGTCTCTCGCTCGAGACGACCAAGTCGATTGCGACCACGTGCAAGTACACGTACTGCAACCGGTCCTGGGACGGCCGCGGCGTGCTCCTCAACCCCGTCGCGCTCTCGGTGCCGAATCCTAAGTGCTTTGTGTGCTCGCGCCAAGTGCTCGACCTCGCGCTCATGCTCAAGACGACGACGCTCCAGCAGCTCGTGGACCACGTGCTCAAGAAGCGCATGGGCATGAACGCGCCGACCGTCTCGATTGGTGCCAACACGATTTACGAGGAAGGCGAGGACGCCGAAGAGAGTCTGCGCGTGAACCTCGCCAAGCGCCTCGACGAGCTTCCTGGCGGCGGCGTCCACCACGACACGGTGCTCACGGTCGAGGATTTCTCGCAGGATTTCAACAGCTCGCTCTGCATCAAAGACTGGGCGCCGGCCGCCGAGGCGGCGGACGAGCCATCGGCGTTTCCCTTCTTGCTCGGCCCTGAATTTGCCAAGTGGAAGCTCGAGCAGACCAAGACGATGGCCGACAAGGACGGTGGCAAGGACGACGACGACGACGATATTGTTGTCGACGACCTCCACGAGAAGCGCAAGCCGCCAGCGGCGCTGGAGTCGCCGGCGCACAAGCGCGCCAAGCTCGACTAAGCACGCCTAATGACGAAGGCTATTACATACATCGCAAGCCTGTTTACAGGCGTCGTCTTGCCGTCGTGAACCATCTCCATCCACTATCATCATCATCCTGCATCCTCTCGATGGATAAAGCGATGCCTGGAACGTGCTCTTACTCCCATCTGTGGCTGGTCGTTGCATGGCCCTCCATCGCCATGCTAGCCGGCGCCGCATGGTAGAGTAGGCAGTCGCATGTGTCGGGCGCGGACCTCGGCGCTCATCATGGAGCTGCTTCTGCCCGCGGTCGGTCGGCGGCGCGTCCTCCATTATGCAATCGCGATGTGTAGTAATTAAATGCAACGGAAACATAATGCATACAAACAATGGGTGTAAAATCTGGGCTTAAAACGGTTTGTAATAAAATACACACGCGCCGGCAGCCGACGTGCCATGTGCGGAACAATTTCCGTGCAAAAAATCGAAGTTGCTGCCCGTACCGTCCATTGCTTCCGTCGACGCGACTGCGCCGACGACCTGGACGACGACAACGACCGACGACATGGCCTCGGGCAACGACGTGGTGCTCACGGAGCGATCGCAGGCTCCTTTGCTCCATGGCGATAAGGCCGCGCCGGCGACCGGCCTCGGTGTCGTCAACAACATCGACATGCACGCAGTCCAGCACAACGGGCTCTACAGCAGCCCGCAGCCGGCGCATGCTTTAAAGCGAGGCCGATCACCATCCACAGTGTCCAGCCTCGACGATGGCGTTGCAGTGGACGCCGCCACAGCGTCGATCATAACGGCTACGCGTACGTGCTGTCACACCTTTTGTGTTCATGCTCATGGCCAACGACTGGTAGACACGAAAGAGTGTGCTTCGTCGCCTCCGCGCATCCCTGTAAGCGTGCACGGCGAACCATTGTCTTCGAGCACACGCCTTACCGACCAAGACGGGCCAGCGACGCAGAGCATTCCAATAGATGCAGCATCCAGCACGAAGCGCCGCAGAGAGCTTTCCAACAACACATCGCCGACACCATCCAATGCCATGTCAACGCCTCCGTCGGTCGTCGCGAAGCGCAAGAAGATTGCGACGAAGAATCGGTTCTTGAACCTCTTGCAGATCGACATGAAGGAGCCGGCGCCCGAGAAACCCAAGCCACGCAACGAACTCGCTAGCAACGATGCCAAGCCAGCGGCCAAAGCACGCACGCAAACGGCGCCGCCACGGCGACGCGCGTGCGCGACCAACCCGTCGCCCAAGTCGCGGCGCGCTTCGACCGGCGCCCCTCGCGCCAAAGGCAAGCGCAAGCTCTCG